CTGCCTCGGTGAGTGGCCCATCCTGTCGGCTGTTCTGGCCACAGACCTCGAGGTCAGCTTTTATGTGTCTTCACATCCTGTATCTGTTCTTTTAGAAAATCCTTTGGGCTTCTACCTACACAGTACTTCCAGTCTCTCCTCACTGTCTCTCCAGCCTCCTCAGGTCTCCTCGCTCTGCCCTTGCCCCTGCAGTCGTTTCTCAGCACTGCAGCTGAGAGTCCCTTTGGAATGGAAAGCAGATCAGCCCTCCTCTGCTCAAAGCCCCCAAAGCTGCTGCCTCCTCAGAATGAATTCAAAGTCCAAACAATTTCTCACCAGCCTACAGTCTGGTCTTACCCACTGTCTGCCCTGGCTCTCTATGATGACCCCTCCGACCTCCTCATTGTGCTTGAATGTGATCAGCCCTTCTCTGCCCCAGGGCCTTTGAACTCACTGGCTGTGTCTTCTGCCTGTTGGCTGTGTCTTCTGTCATTGGCAAGGTCTTCTGGGGTCAGCTGGTCCCCTCATGAGGCAGGAAGGACCTCCCCACTCAGAGAAAGAACTCCTAGGTTACCGTCAGCAGCCAGGGCATTACCCTTCCCTACATACCGATTGGGGTGAGGAAATAGATGGGCCCAGGCCCCTCGACCCCAGCTGTTCCCTATATGCTCCTATGGTTCACTTCCTCCCTTCCTTCAGGTCTTTGCTCAATTCCATTTACTCACGAAGCCTGCTTTGCTCGCCCTGTTTAGACCACAGCCTACCCATCTCCAGGCCCCACTTAATTTTCCCCATCGCACTGTCACCGCCTGCGGTATGCAGGGCTGGATCGTTATGTTGTTTGTGGTCTGTCCCTGTCCTTCCTGGGCTCTGCTTCTTCACAGGGTGGGTCTTGCTCACGACTCCGTCCCCAGTGTGTGCAGCACTAATGGTGCGTTTCCTCCTCATCTGGACTGAGGGGTCTGAGAAGCTGGGGAGCTGCCTGCGCTCCCAGACTCATGGCTGAACAGGTCCGGCACCAGGCCTGGCAGAGCCCCGCTGGCCTGGCCACTCTACCGTCCTCCTTCTCCAGTGCCACTCTGTGGGTGCTGCCCCCTGGCCGGGCCGGGACCACAGCCTGTGCTGTCTCTCCGGCACCCCTCTGCCTGCTCACCTTGATCTCCCGAGTTCCTCCTCCACCAGGTCCTGGGGGTCTGGAGGGCCTGCTTCCTCCGGCCTCTGCTGCACGCTCAGGGATTTCTTTTGTCCTCTGCTCCGCTCCCTTTCCTGGGGACAGAGCACTGTACCGAACTGCACCCCCCCGGCCCACCCTGATGCCCTCCGTGCCGACCCGGCTCCCCAGGACCAAGAGGATCCATCGTCCCAGGTGCCCAGTAGCGGGAGGACGGATGGGCCTGGACGGGCCACTTCGAGGAGTCTGTTCCTTTGCAGTTAAACCATCTGCACCCAGCTTGTTACTGTTAATTAAGTTAAAACTCCGAGAATAATGGTGGCCCTTCGTGCATATTAAGTGTGAGAATATGTCTTTCTTAGCAGAGAGCCTATAAAAAAGGTAGCAAGACAGCCCGGCCTGCGAGGGCGCCACGGGGTGGCCCGGAACTCGGAGTCCCTGGGAAGTGATTTATAAGAGGCAAGACAGGGGTGAATTATAGAGCAAGAGTTTGCAGTGTCTTCATAAAAATCCCGGGGCCTGGCAATTATGAGAGGAAAACCGCACAGCCGATTAATGCAGCGCGTCCCTGGCTCTGCTGTTTCTCGCCGGACGGTCTGTTGCCCCCTCCCCACGCCGCACCCCTGCCCGAGGGGCGGGCCTGGCCTGCTGGGATCCGAGCTGCTCTCGGGTCTCTCCAGGGGCCAGGAGGGAGGGTGCGAGCAGGCGCCTGTCCTGCAGGGGGCGCTGCCCTGGGCCAGGCTGCGCAAAGGGCCGGTTCCTGGGAGCGTGAGGGTCCGGAGACCACCCAAGAAAATAACCCCTGCGCGGGTTCCTGTTTTCACACACACAGGGTGCGGAAGCCCCGTTTCCTCCTGTCTGGTTAAAGCGAACCCGGTGTCAGCACAGCCACCGGGCTCCCCCAGGCCTATGGCGGAAGCTGTGTGGGGGCAGGAGGCCCGGTTTTCCTCTGTCCATGCGCCGCCGCTCTCTCCTCCCTCCTCTGAGGCCCAAGCACTCGGCGCCAGCCTCACCTAGGGGCGTTAATCACGGCGCCGGTGACAGCCCTCTTTTGTCTTCCATTGTTAGTTAATTTTTCATACTCGCTCCTCTGAGGCAGGGGAGGGCCTGCAACAAATACTCAGCCCGGACCACCGAGAACCCCCTGGAAGGGCGGGTGGGGAGGGAAGTTCGCAGCCTCTCACCTGCATCCTGCGGAGCCGCTGTGGGTGAAGATGGGCACAAAGGCTTCGGTCTGGGCGGCCAGCAGGGTGGCCACGTGCACCACCAGCAGGGCAGCCACGGCCCTAGGGGACACCATCCTGGAGCTAGACAAAGACAGGGCTCCCGTCACCAGGCTGGCGCGCCAGTGGACTGCCGCTCTGGCCATACCCCACTGTGGCTGTAAGATCTTGAGCAGGTGCCCATCCGGGAGAGCCTGGGGTCCCGGCCTTCACAGGGGAGCTCCTGGTGGGGAAAGAGCTCCTGGGAAAGGCCATTCAGAGGCGCACAGGGAGAATTGCTCTGCTCCGGAGCTCTTCTGTCATTGGCAAGGTCTTCTGGGGTCAGCTGGTCCCCTCATGAGGCAGGAAGGACCTCCCCACTCAGAGAAAGAACTCCTAGGTTACCGTCAGCAGCCAGGGCATTACCCTTCCCTGCATACCGATTGGGGTGAGGAAATAGATGGGCCCAGGCCCCTCAACCCCAGCGTTACCCAGAAACACCAGGCCAAGACCCCAGACCTAAAGAGGAAATAGTGGAGGCTCTCTGCCCATGGGGGAAGAGCTGGATGGACGGAGGGGTCCAGCACCCAGGCTGAGGTTGGGAACCATGGTGTGGGGTGGGGGCTGCTGTGCGGAGCTCTGGCTGCTCCAGTGCAGCCACATCCAGAAACAACAGGTCAGGCTTGGCCTCGGGACCCACTGACCCCTAGGCCCTAGGAATGCTGTGGGTGCCCCTGGGCGGTGGCTACGTCAGGATCGGCTGCCAGGACACGGGCTGGGAGCTCTGGGGGCTCAGGTCCCTGGGGCGTGGTGACTGCGGAGGTGCAGAGACCCGAGAAAGGGTGGAGATGGTCGTGGGGGAACAGCGTGGCCTGGGCCATGCCCCAGTGTGTGCTCCTCTGCTGCAGAGATGGAGGGTGGCGTCTGGACCCCAGGCCTGTGCTGGTGGATGCAGGGGTGAGGCAAACGAGCAGGGAGGGTGCAGGTGCAGCATCCAGAGAGCTCAGGGGCCTGGACCCCGAGGTGGGTTAGGGTTAGGGTCTGGGCCACCGCCAGGGTTCTCTGAGTCCAGCTCTGCTCTCCTGTAGAGAGGAGCTGCTGCTCTCTCCTCCCCTTCCTGTGTGCTCTCTCTGTTTTGTTTGAATTCCATGAGCTGCAACCCAAGGCTCAGATGCCTGAGCTGCCTGCAGGCTGGGTGGGCCACCCCCAGGAGGCCAGGGCCCTGCAGAGCCTGTCCTGTCCCCCCCAGCCCTCCTTCCCATCCTTCCCCACGGCAGTCCCTGGGGCCCCCACTTTCTCTCTCGGTGGAGACAGATGTGTCACATTTATGGCGTCCATTTCCTTACAGAGACACTTAGATCTTTCCATTCTGGTGTTTGCATTTAATTCACTCCGTAAGAATCAATAAAAACTTTAAATAAAAAAAGGCAAAATCCAATTGCTGCTCATTTTCTTGATTCACCTGGCAGCCGGCTTGTCACCTAGTTCATCCGAGTTCCGGGGAGCTGGGAGGGGAGCCGGAGTGGGAGCCGGCCCCAGCAGGGGAGGCGCTAGCTCCGCTCCTTCAGCTCTGGCAGCAGCGCCAGCCAGGCCAGTCTGTCCTGGCCCCGCACCCCTGCTCCGCTCTGGCTTGAAGCCCGAGTTCCAAGCTCCCTACACCAGCTTCTGCTTTGCCTGGAGCTGCATCACCGGCCTATCTCTGCCTCTACCCTGTGCGGCTTTGCCCCTGCCCTTGGAATCGGCTGGGGGGGTGGGCAGCTCACCTCGGAGCTCGCACACACCTCTGCGTTGTCTCGGGGAGCAGGCCGATGAACCCCGCCCTCTGTGGTCTGAGCTGTCCGGAGGGCCACCTGTCCTGCCCTCGGTGCTCAGCGAGTCTGGTGGCCCTTCTGTGGCTCCCGCATTGCCTTTGGGCCATTAACCTTTAGCCACATGGCTGGGGGTCTGGGTGGGGAGCCTGGATTCTTGAGGCTCGTGGAAACCATGGGCGCTGCCTGCCTTGCTGTGGGCTTTTGGGCTTTCCTGGACGGCCTCTACAGTGAGTCATTCGGGGTTCAGTGGGACCAGCCCCCTAATTCCCCTCTTCCTGTCCACCTGGAACGTGGTACTGCTGAAAGAATCATTTTAATGAGTCTTTTCTTTTTTGATCCTTAAGTATACGATGCTGAACACCTCCAGCCCAGCTCTTTAAGGATCAGACTCTGTGAGAGGGTTAGATCAGAAAAATAACTTCTCTTCCATCTCCCCCTGAAAGGAAGCATGCAGGCGTGTGTGAGGCAGTGTTTCAGTCAATTAATGAAAGAAAATGATTGCAGCCAGGCCGAGGGCTGTGCAGGGCACTCGCCCAGAGGGAGTCAAGGCAATGAAGATGGTGCGGTGCAGAAGGTTCTGGAAATTTGTGGCCTAGGTGAGGGGCCCAGGCCTGTCCAGGAAGTGTTCTCTGGTAGTTGTGTAGGTTATACTGGAAGTTAGAGATTTGAGGAAGGAAGAAGGGCTTCAAACCCGACACCCAGCCACTCAGCGCCCCGAGTCTTCGAGGGTGATGGGAACAGACAGCAACCTCTCTTCCTGCCAACGAGTCTCCGTGTCCCGGCCTCCACCCTCCTCCAGCCCACCGAGCCAGCGACAGGGCTAGATACGCACGGGGGTCTCCGGAGTCCCTGATAGTGAACCGCTGGGGTCTGCAACTGACAGCCCCTCACCCTGCCCAGTCAGAGTGTTGCCACCCCAGTCTCAAGCGGGCCCTGGGGTCGCTGTGAGCTGATGCTCGTACTCTGTTTTTCAGTAATTGAAAACAGATTAAAAGAATCCTATTTAATGACGTGTGGATTAACTTCTGTACCCATGAGTAAAGTCTCCCTGGGTCACCGCCTCTGTCGCTCATTCACGTGCTATTCTGGGACCACAACAGCAGAGCTGGGGTGCGCGACGGAGGCCCAGGGGCCCGCAGAGCTGCGAATGTTTAGGATCTGGAGCATTGTAGGAAATGGGAGGACACCGAACTCCTCCCAACCTGAGCATTCCCTGCCGGGAGTCAGAACTGCTGTGGCCTGAGCCAACCATGGACAGGGCAGGTGCACTCAGCTGGGCAAGGTGGGCCTGGTCTTGGGGGCACCCAGAGGCAGCAGGCACCCCACAGAGCACTGGGGAGAGTCGAGAGCGCTCCACTCTCCGGCGCTTGGCAGCAGAGCTCTGTGGTCTGCACTCTGCTTCTGTGGGGCTGATCAGGGCTCTGGTGCCAAGACGCCTTCCAAACGCTCAGAAGTGACCACGAGGAGCCTTGGAACCTGAGGCAGGCCTGTGGCGAGGGCCGGGCAGGAGGCAAGGGCTGGAAACAGTAAATGACCTCAGATCCACTTTCTGGGCGTGAATTGTGCTATCCAGGATCTCTCCCATGAGTCACTATTTCTGACCCAAGAAACTCGCAGTGCTGTCTGATGTCTGCAGCTTGGTGAGGAAGGAAGGCAAAGAGAGGAAGGGGAAGAGTGAAGCACAAGCACTCTCCCTTCCATGCAAAAGGAGAACGCAGGCCTGCGGGGGGCTCCAGATCTGCTTCCGGGTCAGCGGGTCAGGGCCCCAGCTCCTGGGAGGAAGTGGCCTCCCTGCCCGCTCCGCCGGACTGAGATCCTGTGGTTGGCCCTTTGGGAATCTCTCTGCTCCCCGCTCTTTATCAGCCACTGTGGGCTTTGATGGGTATTTTCCGCTGACATAGATTCTGCCTGAGGAATGGAGAGGAGGCTGGATAACAAGCCTAATAATGGCTACTTTGTCCTTACCGTGCTCATCAACTCTCCCTACACATGCTCAATTAGTGGCTCCAGCTGGAAACTAGACAAAAGTAAAAGGAAGGCATAATCTTATGTTCTTCATTTTCCAAATGGGATTTGCCCAGGAAGTGCGGTGGCCGAGGCCGAGAGGAGGCGTAAGAACCTAGCCCAGGTCTTGGGAAAAGAAGTTCACAAAACCCAGAGGCAATGGCTCAGACCGCACGTGGGCACTTGATTGCCTCTTCCCCCATATCGGGCAGAGGGATGAGCAGTGTAGCTCTTCTCTCCTTGTGACCTTGGAAATATTGTCATTGCCATAACATCTTCATTAATGGCCTGGAACAAGGAGGCAGTGGCGTGTTAATTAAATCTTCGGATGATACTAAATTGGGAGACACAGCAAATGTCAGGGAGAACAGAGACCTAACGCAGGAACGGGCGGAGGGGCTCGGACTGTGCTCTAGAAAGGGCCAGGTGAGCTGCTGGACATGTGACCCCGAGGACACAAGACGGAAGATGTGGGTGGGAGGGGAGGAGCAGCCGAGGAGGAGAGCTGCACCTGGGGACACCTGGGGGAGGTGGGACAGCTCTACCCCGGCCTGTTTTCCAGATGTTTCCCTCAAACGGGCTCAGGACGGTGGTGAGGAGAGGAAAGCAGAGTTCCCACGAGCTAAAATAGCCCAGGGATTGCTGGGCACGCCAAAGCTCAAGGCATAAAAATGAAAAATGATAGGTTTCAAAAGGGTGGCTTGCTCAGATTGCTGGTAAGAATTAAATGTGCCAGGATCCTGTTAAACAAAGGTCAAGGAGAGGTGAAGAACACAGCGGCGGGAGGGAAGGGAGGAGAAGGGGCCCTGGGTGACAGTCGCTGAGAGCCCCTGGTTGAAAGTCCTTGATGTCTCGCACAGAGCCAGCCAGGGTGGGTGACTGAACGCACGAGCAGAAACACGGGCGGATGGTGACGGCATTGAAAACTAGGTCAAGCAAAGCACTGAGAAATGTATTTTGGGCAACAACTGTGTGTCCCAGGGGACCTGGGCTCTGGTGACCCGTGGGGTATTTTTATTCTTTTCCTTCCATGGCTCAGGGTCTTTTTCCTGAGCTCACAAACGATGCATTGAGAAGTGACACACAGCAGGGACCGTACACCCAGGACCCTCCCCCACGACACAGATACGGTGCAAGTAGAGAGGAAAACACAGACACTGAGGGTCCATCCTGAATTAAATTCCCTATTTGCTGAGCTGATTGTGTGTTACTTCTGCAACTCGAATTAACATTCCTGCATCTCCGATTTCCTGGGGAGCCCACTCAATGCACAGGGACAACCTGGACCCCAAACAATCCGATAAAATGCGCTCCTTTCCAGTTCAGCCTCCCGGACTATTGACAGTGTGTGCACAACTTGGGGACTCAGCTAAGTTCTACAATAGCATCCCTGCTGACTTCCTGGTCAATATTTCTT